TATGGGTGTCATTCACGAGGATGGTTAATTCACAACAAATGCTTTTAACAAATTAATGCACACCATTGTCGATATTATTTACTTAGCTGCACCGAAAGGCAACATGAAATGAACAAAAAGAGATATTTGTATTTCCATCTCTGTAATGTAATATTAGCAACACATGAGCTAGAGAACGAGACACATACACCGAGAAGATGTTCATTTGCCCCCATCAAAATATGACTGAGTTGACTGACGTGAAAAAGACTAGATCAAATGCTTTCAATTACAATTTGGAACGCGACGTCGAGAGGAAAAAACGAAACAGAAGAGAAGGGAAAGACAGCGCAATCTATATAGGGGGAGTATGCCTATAGGTCACATTTGTTGCGGTGGCCGTGGGGTCTAAAATATCTACGGCCAATAGCAATTATAGCGCCGCCACAGCAGTCCCATGGTCACAAACTGATTGAAAAGGTTTTATTATGATTGCAATCCGAAGCCAAATGGCTGAATTATGTAGAATTTACGTTGGCGATAATACATACAAAATTAATTTAGTTTGATATTCTCACAAAGTATAATAAACAGTATATAACAAAATTCATAACCAATATGACTAAGGCAATAACTGACAAAATTAGGTTAAGTTTAAAACATGTTTTGTGAGGTGACTCAAGAGTGGGTCAAAGGATAAGCAAGCAAGATGTGTGAATTTGCTCGAATTCCTTGCAAATGGCACCTCCTATATTGCGATAAATGCAACATCTCTGAAACAAAAATGATCCACGCTCCCAGTGGAATAAATCGAAAACTACTTTAAGCACTAAAGTAATTTGTGAGGCTCTGTAAGACGTTTGATTACTCTACGGTAGCGGCGTTTATCGTCGAAATCTAGAGCAATGGCACTTGCTGTAATAACGGATAGATTCCTGTAGGCTGCAAGATCCGCCACACTTTCCAACTCTGAGCACGAAGGACCAATGATCGTTGTAAACGACTCAGTAAAGTTCAAGGCTACCGCTACTGCAGAAGCTATCATTAAAGTGTAGCCATTGCCGGAATTTGCGGTCTCGCGCATGGTGTATGTCATGGAGATGTTCGGCAAGAGGACCGCCATGGACCATATTGTGGGTTTTTTGTATTCTACTTTAACTGGCTTTGTGTAGACCTCTACAAAGTTATGCCTTGTTTTATTTACAACAACACCAATATACACACCTCCTTGTGATGCAAAAACTTTCAAGATTAGGAAATATAAAAGGATGGCAACTAATGTGGTCTTTCCCCTCTTCATGATTTCAGATTTACTAACCACTAGTTTCTCAAATTTAAGGAAGAAAAGCTGCGAAAAGCTGTAACTGATTAAAGACTAATGGCAAATGAATTTAATATAAATGAGATGGCGCATATATATATTTCACTGAGGAAAACTATTTCACTGAGGAAATACTTCAAATGCTATATCGGAACTAATGTAAGTAAGGAATAAGCATTGGTGCAGTGGAAGGAATGCAAATTAAAACGTTCGGAATTTATCTGCACGAGCTCTTCAAAATCACCTACGGGTAAAAGTGTGTTTTTTCGCAATATAATCTTACGTAGAAGTGATTTTACAAATGGATTTTACTGGTTCAGAAATTATACTAGATGGTTCATTTATTTACAAAAAAAATGAAAAAGACTCAAACCGCATTGGGAATATATAACAATTACTTTTTAAGTAAGATATGGGTAGCGTGTGTTCATAATTGTTTATGAGTGTTTGTGATGATTGTAGGAATAAATGATGAGTGCCTTGTTGTTGAAATGAGCAAACGAACGTGGCACATTGCTAACTAACAGGTTAATTCAAATATGTAACTAAAATGGGTGACAAGACTGACATCGTAAACTCTAGGTAAAACATAACGACTTCAATTTGCATGAATTATAGAAACTTGGTGGAAATGTATGAACAGAGAAAACGTGCAAAGACAGAAATAAAGAACCACTTCAGGAATTAAAGCAACATTTTTATTGAAAGGCTCTACCAAAAAGTTCATAAATCTTTCTTCCCCTCCAGTGAACGAAGGCAGAAGAACCAATTCATCATACATTCAATAAGACATTTAATTATCTGTGAATGACTTGGTTTGGACTGAACTCACCTGTCGAATGTTTAAGAGCTTTGCTTAGAACAAGAGGAATTGAAGCTTCTCCAGTGATTGTAAACGGATAAAACTTCCTCATTACCACATCTCTAGCTGTCCGTACAACCGCAGCTCCTAGCCACCAAAAAAGCAGCAAGTCTGGTACAGAACCGATCCACGTTGCCACTGGAATAACCTTACATTTTCTTGAAGCAAGGTAACGTACTGCGAAGCTCTGTACGATGCTCTAATGACAGTACTGTAGCGGAGTTTATCATCCTAACCTACATCAATGGCACTTGGCGTGATGATAGAAAGATCCCAGTAGGCTGCGAGATCCGCCACCCTTTCCAGCTCTTCAGAGCATGAAGGAGTGAAGGACCGATGATCGTTCTAACCGACTCGGTAAACTTCAAGTCGGCTGCTACAGCAGGAGCTATCATTGAAGTGTAGCCATCGCAAGAAACTACGGTCTCTCTCATAATGTATGTCATGGAGATGTTAAGTGGCAATAGACCATCTTGGACCATAACAAGAATAGTCTGTATTGCGATATCCATAGATGGCCGCGTATGAATCTTACTAAAATAATGTGGTTGCTTGTTAATTATAATACCAAGATGAACATTTTCACTCAAATTTTGGGCATGAATTCAGATAAACCAATTTTGGGCATGAATTCAGATAAACCCGGCATGAATTCAGATAAACCAGAGTAGGAATGTGTTTTGCAAAAAACATGATTTCGATAATTGCGACCTACCTCTACGGTTGTCACAAAAAAAAATTGTATTAAAACTTGGACCAGGTAGTGGACTATGTTCTTTGAGTTGAAAATGGCGTGGATAAGCATTGTTCGCATGAAGCGCTCATGGATTAAAAGTGTCCTTATGTTAACGTTTCACTAACGTTTGTCACTAAAACATCACAGAGTCACTACGGAAAAGGAAATTGCAATCACGATCAAATGGAGTATATTACCATTGATTTCCTCTCTTTCTCTTTTCCATCTGGCTTGTCCGGAGAAATGGTTCTGTGAAAACTACAGTGGTCGTGTTGATTAAATTTCTATCTAGATCGTCTAAAGACACTTCTACTGTATCAGATAGCTTGTGTAATCTGGAAAAGTAAATATCCTCCGAAAAACTTGAGTAATGTAGACACGTCGCCAATAACTCCCGTTTCCAAGCGAACATAATGGTGACATGAATAACGATCGTTGCTCATATTACATTGATACTAGGATAATGAATTGTAACGATTTTTTTAAGAGAGGGAGAGAGAGGGGGTTGAGATAGAGATTCATTACTCATGTCAAGGATGAAGCCTACTTTTTACATAAGATTGATACCGGTGTTTGTTCATAAATACAATCTCATCCAATTTGTAATGAATCTCTACATTCGTCATGATTAACATGAAAACGACATATGAATCGGTGTGAATGTGAATTTTCCCTACATCATTCCTCTTTGACATGTCCAATAAACGTACTTTTGAATCGAAATTTGGAAATATAGTATTAAGAGGAGATCAGCAATTCTTCTAAACGCTGTTCCTAACTCGTATTATATTAACGTAACTGATTTTTTTTTTCTTAAACAGGACTTTATCCTCATTCGGATCTCGGACATGTACACGTATGTCGCATAAGAATCTCTATTACGAAATCTAATCATCGATTAGACCGACTTCGTCATCATTTGGATGGGAGGAATAAAATCAACATAAATGTGACATGAGCTTTTAACTATCGTACAAACCTCGAAAACTATCAAGAGCCTGGAAAAAAGACAAGTAAAGTGCAATATATGATTTTCGCACGACTAAGGCCAAGCCACACCTGGTCAATCTCTCCATCGTGATTGTGTTTAGGATTAAAAGTAGCCTTGTGGCCTTTGGATGGTGTTTCATCAACTAAAATTGATTTCAATCTTAAAAACCAATTTTAAAGCTTGATGGCTTGCTGAAACACCCCCGGGGATTCCGATATTCACTCTTACTTTAATATAGAGTGAAATGCATTAAACTCTTAGTGGGGAGTATTTGCCAGTGATTGTGCAATAGGTGTTTAATTATTGAATTTTGTAATCAATTTTCAACTATTTCATATTTAATTGTGAATTAACATTTATATTAATAGTATTGAATTTTTAAATAACGATTAATACTTTAGTATGAATGAATTCACACCGATCACCGAGTATTTTAGCCAGTGCAATATGTTTTTTTTTTTTCTTTTTTTTTTCAACAAATTTAAATATTCTTCGCGAAATTGCAATGTAATTCGCTTTATTTCTTAATCCATTATGAAATTCAATTGCAATATTTCCACCAAAGTTCTACCAATGACACAAAATCAACTCTTCGGCATGCCAAATTCGTAATAGTAATGGTTTTAATGTTAATTTCAATAGTATAATTTTAGAATGTTTCAGTCAAGATTTTCATTGCTTTTTAATCAAACTTATTTAGTTGCCATTATTATTGTCATTTGATCACTTTTATTTGAATTTCGATGTTGAATGCCTAGACTGCTTTAATATATTATTGTTTAATTGCTTTTAACATGTATATACATTGTTAACTGTTGCAATTCAGTCTTTGGGCTGCGAAAATGGATAAAATTCAATAAAATTCTTCAATCAATATTAAAAATTTAAGGAACTACCGTTATAAATTATTTCATAACACGTAATATCCACAATTTCAGGTCTTATGCCCAAAGATCTTAAATATCACCGTTTTCAGTTCTTGTTGGGCATCAATAAAGTAACCAGAGTGGTAAACAAATTTAGGAACAAAAAGAAGGGGGCAATAAACTACTATTAAACGGAACTTTGTATTAACTGCATAATGGACACAAAGGCTTGTATAACAGATTACTTACAGGAAATGATACATACCTCTGAATTTCTTGAACACATCTACGATTTTAAGTTGCTCATCAAAAAGATACGGGGAATAGGCTATGTCATACATATTTAGCTCTATCACTATGCCTAGCAACATTTCGTGGAAAATCATCCCTTCTGAGTACAACAAGGCAACATGATCCCATTTGAACCGCATAAAGACATCAACGACTGCTTCCCCAAGCTGCGATGCCACAAACGATGTCCTTGTTACCGTCCGGAACCTTGCCTTCTCGTCGAGTTTGACGTCAATGGCGACGGCGCTAAGGACAGGCAACTGCCAATATGCAGCCAAGTCAGCGACTTCTGATGTTTCCTCCGAACACGAAGGACCAAAGAATGCGCTGACATTGTCGCAGAGGTACAGCTCAGCCGCTTCTGCAGGGGCGATCATGATTGTGCCGCTGTCACAGGAGTCGACTGTCTCCCGCAAGACGTAGTTCGCCAAACCGATGCCGATGTCGTCATCCTTCGTGATCTTTTCGAGTGCGATGTCGAACGCGGGAAGCATATGTGGAGCACCAAACGCGTTATCCTCAGAAGTGAGAATGATTCCCAAAGTTAATGATGGATACCTTTGAGATGCTAATGCTGTGAGTACTTCCAGACTCAGGTAATAGATGAATAGCACAACTCGTCCAGCCATGCTTGAACTAAAATTACATATGATGCATTCCCCCCAAGTCTAAAAGGGAGCATCTACATCAGAAAGTGATAAACTGGACTCCCGCACTAAATAAGACTCCTTTATGGTATCATAAATTATATTCTATGCCGTGTTACGTCAGAATCCACTTCATACGAGAAAAACGACATCTGTCTCCTCATTTCGAAGATCATTAAACCCTATTTGAAATTAGTAATTGATTAAATTATTAAAATAAGAGATGTGTCATATTATGATCAGAGCAAATTAGCGATTGTGATTTAATTTTTTAATTTCAAGATAATAGTGAAATTAATGAAGTCTCTACGAAATTCATAGAACATTGTTCCATAACATTCAAACACTTACATTTATTGTAAAGTATTCACAATTCATGTTTCACATTCTGGGAAGGGTCAGGAAATTGTCAATTTGGCTTTCAAACTATTTGTAATTACACATAGATTAATTATTATTAATTTATGGAAAATTGTGATTTACTGCTGCATGCGTTTTCTCGCCATGAAAACATGTTATGTGGCTAAAGCTGGATTTTGTGCAGTTTTAGGTTGAATTGTTTTTGAAGGGTTCTCTTAAATACTATAATTTTACATGTTTTTATGTATAATACTTTAATCAAATTTATCAATTAGATTATTTGAACTTTCTGACCCTACCCAGAACTCAACGCTCCCTTTAAGTAACCAAAAAGAGCAATTTTTGGCTCTAGAAGGGCACTTTGCCCTCTTAGAAAAAATGAAAATGTTGCCACTGACGGGGCACTCAGTATCTGCTCTTTGTTCCCTGGAGGGTAAACATGCATGTTTCCCTGATGAAACACTTGAGGTGACCGATTCATTCATATTAATAGTATACATGTTCACACTCATGACATGTACAATTAAAAAGTAAAAAAATTGACACAGTGTTAAAAAAACGTACACTAAATAGAAGAGCCACGCCCTGCTTGACACAGATGGAAACGAATGTTATAAGGGTACTTAGCCCCTCGAAAAGGAAAAATTTGCCCCCTAGATAATGGACATTTCGCTCCTGATTGGCCACTTTTAGTAACGGAATATGGCAATTTTAGCTCTAGGAGGGCACACACACACACGCACACATACAGGCTCACTATTCAAACGCCACCATCTCAAAGCCAGGAATTAAATACACTAAATTCTACTAAGCTTAAAAGTAAAAAATAATTACCCCATACGACGTTTTACCGCTAATAATTAAAACAAAAAACGGGTCGGGGGGGGGGGGACATAAAATAGATGACTAGTTGTGCCGTTTACCTATGATAAAAGGGACAAGGCCCGGTAGGCTTTTTATTCACAGGTCACCGGGGGGGGGGGCATCATGCTCCCCCCCCCCCCTTCACGATTTTTCTGATTGTTCGGGAACGCATATCGATGGCGCCCCGCCGCTCGCTGAATTTTTTCTTTCGAGTCTTGCGCAACTTTTAAAATAATTTTTTTGAAAATCGAACCTACGGTTACATGGTCACGTGACCTTTTGTCTTTGCATGTCACCCCGAAAATCGCTCATCTTCGTGATTTGTGTACAAAACATATGGAAAAGTAATTTTTCCTAAAAATAGATCAAACATGTGTTATTGGGTCATGGTTAAAGTTTAGGTGGTTGTTTTGGGGTAAAAAATAGTTGAATTGTAGTTAGAAATGAAATAAAACAACAAAAACAATTAAAAAAATAAGTTAAAAAACAAAGACATACAAAAGAAATTATAAAAACAAGAGATAACACTAAGGAATAAGCTGGCACTTCCATTTTTTTTGTCGTATTATTATTCAGAATGGTCTAATGAATAAATGTAGTGAAAAAGAATGCTTAAATATGAATAATAATGTAAAAATGTGATTTTTTATGACCTTATTTGCATAAATAACCATACATATGCAAATAAGTGAATTTTTCAAAAAATTGAAATTATCATAGTATTCTATACACTTCACTTGACATGCGTGTAAATTTTCGCGGAGATAGGCCGTTTCACGGCCGAGATCTTATGGGGGGGGGGGCCATAATGCCCCCCCCCCCCGGCCGTACTAAGACCTCAAATAGCCCGGCCTTTTTAGGGTTAAGGGGCAGAGCCCGGTAGGCTCATCATTCACAGGTCACCATCTCCCAGCCAGAAATTAACTACACTAAGCCCTAACAAACATACATTCAATAAATATAATTAATTTTAAAAAGAGTACCTGACTGGGCGTGCCGTTCTCCTACAATTTAAGGGACAGGGCCTGGTAGGCTCATCATTCACGGGTCACCATTTCCCAGCCAGAAATAAACTACACTAAGTCCTATCATACAAACATACAATTAATGAATACAATTAATTTTAAAAAGAGTATCTGACTGGACGTGCCGTTCTCCTACAGTTTAAGGGGCATGGCCCGGTAGGCTCATCATTCACAGTTCACCATCTCCCAGCCAGAAATTAACTACACTATGACCTAACCTACATACATTTAATACAAAAGAGCAGTTCGGAGTTGAACATACATATGCCCATTTTGTTTGCAATCACGACCAGGGTTCCTCGACTGTGATAGTAATGCTAGTTCTCCATAAATTAATGAGTGGTTCGAAACAAACTTGATTCTATATGATTTCTCATTGATATTTAATACAAGTAATTTTGAATTTGTATCTACTTTCAGTTTTATGATTATTTCTCAAAGCATGCCCTTTTTTATTGATTAGTCAATTAAAACTTTTATATCAAGTTTTTTGTTCTATACATCTCGACAGATTTGAGGCTACCCATATGCATTCCAGGGCATCTTTACTTCTGGACCCGGAATATTTCAAGCTGCAAAGAGATCTAGTATGGGCGAGTTGACAACATGAATTAAAAAAAAACAGAATCAAAATCACACACACACGCACACGCACGCAACACACACACCCTCACGCACACGCACACACACCCGAACACACACACACACACACACTGAATCGCGCCGCACTGATCAAATTCTAGGATTAAGATTAGGTTTATTTAGTCTAGGTTTTTAAGGTTAAGGTTGGGTCGGGTAAGATAGGATTACGGTTAGCGAGACATTAGCTGATATTGGCAAACGAAAATAATTTAAAACCCTAACTATCGGCACTGTCGGCTGATGTGTTATGATCGGAAAACGTGACAAGATCAGTGCGGCGCGATTTAGTGTGTGTGTCGGATGTTGCCTCTATTCAAGTCGTCGAAATAACCTCTGCGACGCATTAGCGGTACGGAAAAAAATACAAATTCCCGTTGTGATGCCTTGTTCTACTGTTGTGCTATATAATACCACTTTACTGTCACCTTAGTGTTACCGAGGCGCCTCTGTTGTTTTACCGATGTGCCACCGATGTGATACCAAAGTGACGGTACTCATAAAGGTCACCGGAGAGCCGCCGATCTAGTACGATGAGCTACCGAAAATCCGAAATTAACAAAGCCATACCGGAGTAATCATTTATTTATTAATCTCTTTCTGATATTTATTCATGGTGGCAGATATCACCAACTTGATGGTCTTCCATGAGGCCCTGTTTGGTAAGAATAAAACAAATAACAGCAGCAAAAACAAAATAGATAAAATACACAAGCATATAAACAGGTATAATACCAATTAATTGGTATCCTCGTGAAATAACCCATCATTCAAGAATTATCTTTGATCATTTAAAAGAAATACGCGAATAGAACTTTCAAAGAAATACCTTACAAAAAAAATGATTTTGTGTAGCGGCCTCTGCAACAGAACTCACCATCCCTTTAATGATAAGTATACTAACATTCCATTATAAGCATGGTATGGTAATGGAGTCAAGTAACATGACAAAAACTGAATAATAGATAATAAAAAAAGAAATTTTGATAAACATGTAAGAACTTAATCTATTGGTATGAACATCGTATCATGTGGGAATTTCTTTTAGAGCTCTCTTAAAAACTGCTAAGCTCTGTGCTTCTTAAAGTAGATATTCATTGATTTTAAATCTAGCTTTATTTTCATTATTGCAAAGTTGAAACTTTGATTTGACAAGGTTATCAAAATTCAATGCTTGGAAACATTCGAAGTAATGATTATTATAAATTACAAAACGCTTAAATACAGCCCCGGCATAGCACCTGAATAGCTCTCCGAACGCTGCTGAGATGTGTGAGATCACAGCAGGGACATGATTTGCACAAGCAGACGATGTCCCATGACATCTCACACATTTTCAGTGCCTGTGTTTTCATCTTCTCTTGAGTTCTTTCTCTTACTTCACTACCGTCAGGCTAAATGTATAATTATATTGCCTCACTCTAAACCCCGCGCATGGTTTTATTTTGATGACAAATGCAGCGATACAAAAATAAAGGAATCTGTCGCTTGTAAACAAAATAAGACGCCATTGTATATTCAGCTGCAGACACCGCGGTATGTTCGGCGTTTTAAGAGGGAACAAATGCCGTCCTTAATATTAATCCGGGGGCTTTTCAATTTGAAAGTCTGGTTTCTTTGATTGTTAATTAACCCCTATCCTGTGTATTTACAAGCAAAAGATTTTAGTTATTAGAATCGGGTCATGTCCCCTTTTGATCGGTTTGACGTGCCAGTACATTTATATACACTAAACTCATTATAATTTGACAAATAATAGCTTTGCAATTATGTTTATTCTTTATGGGATGTCGTCTGCTTGGGCAGTATTGGTCCCTGTTGTGACGTCATTAAAACATCGTTATTTTTCTGGCGAATCTCTCGTATATCCCAGCTGCTATGGAGGTGGTTGTATTTTTATTTTTATAAATCACCCGATATGTAGCTGACCTCAAACTTGTACGATGGCCATCTGTTAGCTTACCAGTTTCTAGTGATACATTAGTTGACATATTTGTGATTTTCTTTGAATTTCACCTTTAAGGTTCAAGTGGAAGCTCATTCCAAATTTCACTGCATGAATAAATGAATGACTTCCTGTAAAATTTTGTTTTA